TCTGCCAGTGCGGCCAGTTCCCCCCTGTTACTGCGCGACCAACTCCCAGTGCTCTAAGATGCTGAAGGACACCACTCTCGAGGCAGGTGAGCTATGTGCCAGGTTCCTTCCCATTTTCTCTACCCTTTTTCATGGACCGATGTGTCTATGATGTGTGTGTGTGTGTGTGTGTGTCTGTGTGCATGCGTGTGCGCGCCTTCGTTGGGTGGAACGTTCGTTGGGTGTGTTTATCTTGAAAACGATACCGCGCTTCCTAGGCTCGAAAATAAAGTCTCCTTTAGAGTGTCCTGCCAGGATTCCGGAAACTTGCGCTTCTCTCCTTTTGCCTTTCTCCGGAATGTCTTTGACCTTCCTCAGGCCCCGGGGGCCGCGGTGCCCGGCGGAGGCCACCCAGCCCGTGAGCCGCGGGTAACCCGTGGCGTGAGGGACGCGCTCCCGGATCCTTCGGGGAGCTGCTGGGGGGGAGTCTCCTTGCTGGATGGGGTGGGGTGGGGGAGAAAGCCGCCGTTTCTCTCCCGTGTGGGGCTTCACTGGAAGTTGGCTTCCCTCACATGTTTTTGTTCCATCCAAAGCCCGCGCGGCCGTGTCTGCGCTCATCTTGTCAGCTGCGAAGCGCAACGGTCTCTTTATTCCCAGGGCAGCTGAGCGCCCGCGGCGCGGCACCTCTCAGGTAAAGAGCTTCCGTGGTCAGAAGCGCGGTGGTCTAGACTCGGAGGCCACTTCCTCATAACAGCAGCCTTGGGTCCTGGAGGGCAGGGGTTTGAAGGGAGCAAGCAGTCGGCGGGAGGCTCTGCGGGCGGAAGGTTTGCGTGGGCGCCCAGCGCAAGGAACGGCAGGTCCCCGGCCCGGGAGCTCAGCGTGGGGAGCTGGGAGCAAGGTGGGCGGCTCGGGCACCTACCGAAGCCCGGCTGCTGCCAAGCTCCCCAGGTCCCAGCTCCGCTCCGTCCACTCGCCCCAGGTCCCGAAGGTGGCCGCCTGGCAGGACCGAATCAGGAGTGCGCCCTGCCGCTCTGGTCCTACCGACTTCGTGGTGGGGGGACGTTTGCCCATAGAGAATTCCACTCTGCACTGTCAAGAGAAAAACCCAGGTGCCTCCGGGCCATTCGCTCACCTCCCACCTAGCGCATCCGTGGCATCCGGGGCCAGGAGAGGCCGCGCTGAGCGCGTGGCTTCCAGCTCGAGGACGCTGCTGACTTCTCTCGGGCCCTGGAGCCCTGGGGTGCTCATTACACTGTCAAAAGCTGGTCACTGGTCTGAGAGGTGCACTTTTCAGAACCACAGAGCTCTTCAACCAGCTTAATAGGGTCTGGAGGAAAGGCGACCTCGCCCTTTTAAAGATAAACCCGGGGGCATAGGGTCATGATCTCCAAAATTCGGGTCTAAAGAGACCTTGAATCACCTGTGCTCTCCGGTATGCACTCCTGCAGGCTGGCTGGTTCCTTCCCCTCTCTCAAGCCTAAAGCCTTCCCTGCCCTCTGGGCAAGGCCATACATCCTCTCCCCCCCTGCCCCTTACCTTTCCTCTCTTACACTTTAGGTAGTTCCCAAGTTCTGGACCCTTTCCCCGAGTAGGCCAGGAGAGTACCACTTTTTTTTTTTTTGTCCTTCGAAGACCCCAAACCATCAGTCTCAACTCCTCTGCCCTATAGAACCCAGTTGCCTGCTTTCCTGAAAGTGGCAACGATAGCTGGAAGGGGGTGGCAAGCAAAAAGAAAGGAGAGCTTAATGGATTTCGTGTGCCCAGTTGTGAGAGAGGGCAGCGCGTGGCCACAGGTCTGCCCTATTGCTCCTAGCAGAGCCCTTGAGTTCAGAGAGAGACTCAAGACCCTCTCCTCCCAGTCTCAGGTGGAGGAGCGCCTCTTGCACCTGCCCCATTGAGTGAGGTGGGGGCTCGGCTCCAGGAACTGAAAAAGCCAGCACTCTAACTTTTATAGAGCACTCGAGGCCCATTCAGAGCTGGGAGAGGGAGGAGTGCTTCCTGTCTCCACAGGCTGCT